TTTTTCGCATTTGGATGCATTTTTATCAATATGTAAGTACTTATTAAGCTAGTAATTTTTTTTCAAACAATAATATTTGTAATTATACAATTTTCAACAAATATAAAAAGTACAGGTAAGTACAACAGGAATAAATCATAAATCATTTAGTTTTTAATGCTGTTTATTCGAGATTTTTTAATAATGCAAGTTATTAAGAACAGGTCGGATGTACATATTATTTTTCACAATCACGAAAACACATATTTTAGAAATGTTTTTAGAAGAAGTTGAAGAAACTAAAATATCCACATCTTCAATTGTGTAGAAATCGGATGAAACCAAAGTTATGGCTTGGCCTGACCTCGTATGTACAAATTCATTACTTACTTTTAATTTATAATATAATACAATTTCTTTATTTTCATTTTTATCTACAAGAAAACTTTTAATTCTTTTAAAAGTTCCATCTTTAAGCATGGCGTAAGAATTATTTGATCTGACCTTGAATTTTTCATACGATTTGTATAAACACTAATCTTTTATTATTTTTTTATATTCTTTGGCATCTTCTGATAAGTTATGGTCTTGTTGATAACTAGAACTAATATAAGTACTTTTTCCAAAATAAAGAATATCACTCATGGAATACACATTTTGTGCTTTTGGAGCAAGAATATTTTGACAAAATCTGACTGTTGTGTTACTTGCGAGTGGAAGTATTTTTTGTTCAATAAGTCGCAAACTATGATTTAAGCTAACGTATCTTACGACTTGCTGTTTTACTCCCTGAGCACATTTTATCGAATTCAAAATGTACCGATTTGCTAATTCGAAACAGAATGTGGATTGAGTGCTTAAAGGTCCCCAACTAAATACGCTGGAGCTTAAATGCAACATCAAGTGAACGTTATACGTCATAGATCTATTTGAATGGTGAAATTCTATATCAGCAACAAATTCATGTATCTTTTCATCAGCTTCATTAATTTCTGTCTCTGATATTTCGTCTTTGAGCAATATATATATACTCTGAACAAACAAGATCCAATGTTTGAATTTTTTTATATCCAGAATTTCGCTTAAAATTGGAATGCTGTAATACAAAGTGAAATTTTCCCAAACTTTTGCTTTCCATTTTCCTCGATCTTTAAGCGGTCGACTCAGTTTACCAATTTGTTTCGGTGCAGGTATATCATACAATTACGCATCCAATTCATTGATGGTATCTATACTAACATTTTTTAGGTAAAGGGATATCATCTGTTTGGCAACTCCTTCTAAGCATGAATACAAGTAATCAGGAATGAATCCTTCAATTATATTGAAATGCGGTAAATTAATAAGTGGTGAAGCGTATCTTATTCCATAATTTATGTTCTCAATATCGGTATTAAGCATTAATTCAATGGTATTCTCATGATTTCTTTTACAAATTGGATGATTTTGCAGAGTATAAGTCATTACATCATCATAAACACCAGGATGTAAGCACCAGTTGCATCCATAATACCCAATATTAATATCTAAAATATGAAAGAGATATGTACTAAATTGTTATATGTAACCTTAAGGGGTAACACCACTCTAGGATTTTCAAAAAACGATTTTTTTTTTGCATAAAAAGCTCCCTTGGGGTGTGTAGAATGATGCTAAATTAGTTTTATAGGAGAGACGAAGTTATAAGATGCTTAGTTTTCAATATAAGTGGAAGGGTCTTTATGAACATATCTTCGCAAAATCGGCGAATTTCAATAAATTTAGTATTTTTTCTATTCAAACACTGCCGCTAAAATTTCATCTAATTACATTATTGTACGAGTGAAAAGTGGCTTTTAATATGTAAAACGACCTGTAGAGGTTGCTATAGAAGGCCAACTGTATGGTGCAGGGATCGTCAATTAAAGGTGATACATAGGTTTTATATGAATTTCATATCAAAAAAACTTTAAACGCGTTTTTCTCGAAACAATATTTTTCGGCACTGGTGGAACGATATCTCGAAAAATATTGAACCGATTGAGCTGAAATTTGAACTGAAGCTTTAAAATAAGATTACTAAGGAAAGTACGTAGGATTTTTTCGATAAGTTAATTACATGTATTTTTATTTATTTTTATAAACAATATTCGGAGGGAATTTTCTCGAATTTTTGAAAATTTTTTTTAGAAACACGCAATTTTTACAATTTTCACTTTTGTGTTAAAATCCTACGTACTTCCTTAGAAAAAGCATTTAAATTTAAGACCTTTTTTGAAATTTTGTTCTAGATGCCGCAGAAGTCGAGAAAGCTTTCCGCCAGTCAAAAAATCGCTATTTTCTAAAATTGTGATATCTTCGCCATTCTCTGCCTAAAACTAATAAAAAAATTTTTTTCTTATAGTTCATTGCATGTATTATTAGTCCTCAAAGTCTCAAATTAAAGTATTCATCGTGGCCCCCACAAAAAATTCGTAAATTTTAGCAATTTTCCAAAATCCTATAGTGGTGTTACCCCTTAAGGAAAACAAATTTGTATTTAGTGCGCACGCCACCTATGTATACACGGAGAGAAAATGTACGCGATTGAGGGAGGACATGTATCAAGAAAAGAATCGCCGGAACGCTTGCCTGGCTCAATCGCTGGCTGTCCGGCGATGATATCCGAAGACTCTAGCGTCGCTTTGGTCGCTCGCACGCTGGAACTTGAGTCAAACTATTTTGTGAGATATTCGACTTTTAAGGTTTCCTGGCGATTTTCTCGGGAAAAAATGAAAATTTCGGAAAATTTGATCGTACCATTGGAAAGCTGAGACAATTTCCTGTCGGAATGGTGGATTCATTTATTTTTTTAAGTGCATTCAGGCACTTTTTCAGTGAGTTATAAATTTAGCGATTAGACTAAATAATACCGCGCGGCCGTAGATCGACTCAAGTCCCAGCGTGGAGTCTCCGGCGATCATTGCCGGACAGCCAGCGATTGAGCCAGGCAAGCATTCCGGCGATTCTTGCTTGATACACGTCCGCCCTCAATCGCGTATATTTTCTCTCTGTGTATACAGAAATGTGTTCTGGCAACTTAATGTAAAATTATGCCAATAAAAAACCTACAAATTGACACTATACCCGCATGAAACCTGCTTTGCCGGCCGTCACGATCCATTGCTTTTTAATTATATACACATCATTTGAATGAATGATACATTATCGCAAGTTCGTCGCGGCACAAATGCATCCGAAAACGGTACGTACGTGAGATTTCACGGAAATTTCGTTATCGGCGTACGAGTAATCGTTCGTGATATCACGTACGTATGACTGAATCGACGGCTTGCTCGTCCGAGCGCGCGCGTCGTCGATGACAGCTAATTTTTTCAATATTTTGAAATAATGAATGAAGTACACAATAACATAAACATTTCAGCAGTATTATGATATATAGGCCAATAAACGTTCAATCAATGATTCGCTCGATAAATCATTTTCTCGACGAAAATCGAAAGAGACAAGACAAAAGAAAAAAGAGAAGATCGAAAACATTGAAACTTCTTTGTACACCGAGAAAACCCCATTAAAGTACGTTCAGTTGAAACCTATTAAAGTTCTAAATACAACATTTTTACTTTCTCTCTCTTTCTCTTAATTAGATCTTCATTTCATTTTTCATCATAAGAACAAAGCACAGTATAACGGAAATTCACGGCAACGCGTGTGCCACATGTGTTGTAAGACAAGTGCTGCGATGAACCTGTTTTTTTTCGTAATATACACACATATAATAGACGCAAGGATGCGAGAATTTAAACTTTCTCTCGTGCGTATGTCATACAAAGATGCACACATGTGTAGTAAAAATGACCGACCAATGAGCGGCTTTTTATAAGCTAAGCATCTCATAGAAAAGTATATACATGCATAACTGGGCGTCTTTGTATGTATACTTTGTACGCGCGGAGGCTCGTCTAGGCTTTTTACCTAAACGCACACTAATATTCTCGACAATCCATTCACACCAACGTCGTTGTAAACGCACAGTACCCGCAGAGCCGCCGTTTCGAAAAACGCCGCACGCACCGCCGCGATTGCTGCCGACTGCTGCCGACTGCTGCTACCGTCTGCCACAGAGCAGAGTCTCTATATATATATGTATATAGTCTAGAGGTGCATTTCAGCGAGCGAAGCTTCTCCCTCGAACGTGTATGCGTGTGTACACGCGGTAGATCCGCGGGACGAGCAGTAGTACACATCATCCTCGGGAGCTGATATTAAATATCTCTCCGCGTCTGGGGGTGCACCACAAGAGCACGAGACGAGTGCCCTGCACCCGCTGTTGTTGCTCTCTGTATACGTTTGCATTCGTTTTCATTCAAGGAGTTCAACGCGCCACTGGGACCTTTGGAGACCGAGTCTCGCCCAACGCAACGCTTGCCTTATTCTCTTTTTTTTACGTCAAATGGGTAAGTGTCTCTAACGCTTGATACGTTGTTGTTTGAATCTTGTAGGACTCTTGTTGACGTGTTTTTCATTGATGATTTAAGAAAAGCGTTGCCGTAATCTATAATGATTATATATCAGCTTGACAAAACGACGACGAGTGGCTTACGTGCGTTGTGTTGTTGTAAATCTAACCTCAAAAAGAAAAATGATACAAAGTTGTGTATACATTGGGGAATTCTGTGCTGTGTATACGTCGTACGTCGTTTTGCTGGTGCATTTTACGCTTAAAAATAATCAATGTACGATACAAATTTTGAGCGTCACAAACATATTTATTAACACACACTTGCTGACGTGCTCTGCTGCTGTGACAACGCTACAAAATTTGTAAACTTGCTCTGAATTTTAAAATTCTGTTATGAAAATAAAAGCACAACAATTATGTTTTGCAATTTGAGATTGATACGGACATGTTATTGTTTTGATTCAAGTAATGAGAAGGATGATATGAAGGTAACGAAAGGCATAACAATACCATTGGCATAACTATCTTCAAGCTGTTGTACGCATTGAGCCCACTCTCATGCCCTCTGCTACAGGTAATGATCACATTTGCTGAACAGCTATCGTAGTGTTAAGTTGTAGTAGAGTTTTGTAAAATCAAACCTAGCCATGCATATACCAAGAAACGGCCCCAATCGACAGTTCTTTGTCAGATCACCACCGAGCTTTGAACAACAAAACAGTTATACAGTTCAACCAACATTTCACCCAGTAACAATCCAATATCCCATAATTCATAATGTGCACAATGGATCGTTGCGACCCATGGGTATGCCCATGCCACACCACATACCACGTCACACACACATGCCAACACACGTACAGCAAATACCAATGCATGACATGCGAAGAATGACACACGCTCATGTACATAGGCCCCATCACGCAGCACATATAGCACAAGCACATCAACAGGCATTTGAGGCACATCAGGCACATCAGGCACAACGTGCACAAGAAGCACAAGACAATGCACAAATATTGCAACACTTAGATGTCCAACAAAAAACAGGAGGACATCCGCTATTAAATAGACTATGGTCAATTGAATCTAGTGAATCACAAACACCTACAGAACCTCAAATAAGTGAATTTGATGAAAAGGAGCAAATAACAGGTTTATACAGCTGAAATTATTCTTGTATTAAGATGAATTAAAGGATATATTAATTATGTGACAGAATTTACAGAAAAAGAGTATACAAGTATAGAAATATTTGTATTTATAGTGACAACTGATAAAACTGTGTTTTCCTTTTCAATTTCAAAACTTTCTCTAGCAGGATAAGCTTAGTGTCTAAGCTTTATTAGAGTATGGTTAATTTACAATATAAATTGGAGATTAACAAAAAAGATGTGTCTCTTTAAAATTGTATTTTCTTTATAATCAAAACTGATTTAACTGAAGGAAATAGATTATGAACAATATAATTAATTATAATATTATTATATAGAATATAATAGACAGTTCTGATCCCAAGAGCATTTCCCAATTAATTTTCCGCATTGGATTAGCTCGTTATGCTATTATGCAGTTTATATTTGATAGCCTTTCCTGATTTATTAATATTTTTGTTGTAACTATTATTTTTATCATTATTATTGTTATTGTTGTTGTCATCATGCTTTGGAATAATATACTTTTTTATGTACAATATATTATTTATCATTTTAGCAGGCCCCAATATTTTGGGGCAACAAAAAAGTGGCTCCAACATGCCAACCAATGAAGAATGTGGGATACGAGATGTCTGGCATCATAATCTGGAAGAGGAGTTCAAGACTATTCGAATAGTGGTACAACAGTTTCCATTTGTTGCCATGGATACTGAATTTCCAGGAGTAGTTGCAAGACCTATTGGTGAGAATTGAAAATTGCCAAGTTTTTTATTTTAAACTCGTATTTTCTAATTTCTAATGATTTAAATTTAATCTGTAGGTGAATTCAGGACTACTGCGGATTACCAATATCAATTGCTTAGGTGTAACGTAGATCTATTAAAAATTATTCAGTTAGGTTTGACATTTTATGATGAATCGGGGAACATGCCTAGAGGCTTTACAACTTGGCAATTCAATTTTAAGTTCAGTTTAACGTAAGTACTTTGAAATTATTCATTAAATGAATTTTAACTATGGATCAGTTACTTAATCTTATTAAAATTTTCAGTGACGATATGTTTGCTCAGGATAGTATTGACATGTTACAAAACAGTGGAATTCAATTTAAAAAGCACGAAGAAGAAGGTATAGAACCATTGGTGTTTGCTGAGTTATTGATGTCATCTGGAGTTGTCTTGGTTGAAGATGTCAAATGGCTTTCATTCCATTCTGGATATGATTTTGGTTATCTCCTGAAACTTTTGACCGATCAAAATTTACCGGAAAGTGAAAGTGAATTCTTTGAAATCTTGAGGTTGTATTTTCCAACAATTTATGATGTAAAGGTAATTAAGCAATTAAAAGGAAATATATATCACTCGAAAAAACATTTTAAAAAATATTTTGGTTTTTTTTTCAGTACCTAATGAAATCTTGTAAAAATTTGAAAGGGGGTTTACAGGAGGTAGCTGAAGAACTAGATATCAAAAGGGTCGGACCACAGCATCAAGCTGGATCTGATGCTTTACTAACAGGAATGGTATTTTTTAAAATGCGTGAGGTAAATTATCGAATTATTTTATTTTTCTCATGAAATAATTATTCAATATTATAATAAATAACTTTTTGAATTTCAAGATGTTCTTCGAAGATAACATAGATGATGCCAAGTATGCCGGTCACTTGTACGGACTGGGATCAGCAATGATATTCAATGGTTCTGCCGGTTATATTGATACAAATGGAGACAATTCCACTTCGACGTAATAATCGAGAGAGTACGCAGATAATTCGTTTTATTACGAAAAACGAAAATAATCTAAAAAAGAAAATTTTTATTTATGAAGTGTAATAGAAGTGTCATTTGTTGATGGGTGTACAATTCATTTTTTTAAGTTTTAAAACTTTTTTCTAATACAAATAATGAGCATTGTATATTCTCCTTCGCATGTGAAGTACCATAGATGACAAAAAAATGAATGAATTTTATAATATTCTACGCATAACTTTGACTCTTTGAATGAAATGTAGTTTTATATGTTGTTAATGCGATTAATTTAAGAAAAATGTGTAAAAGCTAAGCTTTTGCTTCCGCCTCAGAAAGCAAAAAAGTGAATATTTTGATGAAAACCTACGACTTTTTTCGTCGTAGTTGTATTTTTTTCATAAAGTTTTAAGTCTTTGAAGCTGCTTGAAAAAGAAACCGACATTTACTTTATTGTAAACACGTGTTAAAATCGTATTACAATTGACTATGTGTCGTTTCGAACGCCTAGGTGTCAGTCCGTTATGCTCAAAACAAGTGTACAGTGAATGTAACACAGCACACATGTGTACATTCAGGGACCTTCGAAACGACTCGATTATAAAATCTAAAATTTCAAATTTATTAAAAACAATTTGGACCTTTGTAACATTGTGAAAAAGTATACTTGTACATTTTGTTTCTAAAATTTCATACATCAAAAAAAAAATTGAATAAAATGTGATTCATCACACTGCCCTTAGACAAGGAGATGACGTGTTTGTTTCTTCCTTATTTTTTGTCTCTGTCTCTCTCTGTCCTTCTTGAATTCAATTTACACTTTCGAAAAGCAAGTATACAATTAGATAACCGTTAAGTTACGTTAGAAAAAAAGGAGAAGTTCCGAACAAACAGAAAAGAGAGTCTCGGAAGTGTCATCCCGGTTCCGTAATAACGGAAGGGCGGACGCGGAGTCGTAAAAAAATAAAAAAAAAAATGGGAGAAGAAAAAAATTTCACTAACTGGGTCATCGCTCGTGTAAGAGTGTATATGACATCTTGTATAATAACACCTGACGATGAGTACATACACCAACGAAAACGCCGAGAGATAAGCCGCCGCTTCCTTATCTTACCTATCTGTTGCTTCTGCGGAGGGAGTCGGAGGCACAGTGAGAGACAGAGAAAGAGTTATACGGACTTGTACCATATACGTGCTAGTTTTTTGAGCCTTATCTCGCGCATATTGTTGTAACATGGCGTAGAAAATTTTTTTGATAGCACAATACGTACTCACTTAGACACCTGTAGTATATAGTACCTTGACGCGGTGGCTTGGCAGTTTCGATTTGATCGGCGAGCTCGACACTCGCGAAAAGCTGACCGCAGCCGAAGGTTACAACACTTGGCTACGTCGGCTCGAGAAAGAGTTGGGAAAAAAGTTTTGATCAAACAGAAAAGATTTTTCCGCGATTCGATTTCGAAATAATAAGAATAAAGTATAAAAATGCGGGAGTGGAGCGGGACGAGTCTCGTCCTGTTGCTGGTGATCGGTTGTGCGATTATTCGGGACAATGCCGCCCAGGAGCAGTACGACATGCAGCGATCGCGCGAATCCGTCGCCGAGGCCTCGGCGAGGCTGTACAATCCGGGCGGCTACAACACCTACGAGGACAATTATCCCAGATACGGTAAATAAACCAGAACCTACTTTTATTTTATTTTTCTTTACCTTCGATTTTCGATGGCGCGCGTGACCACGCCTTTCCGCGGATGCGTTATATTATTCAGTCGCGGCAAAATCGTTATTGTTTCTTGGGTGTATTTTGTCGTTTGCGCTTGAAAAATAAACACGATAAAAAAATCAATGAAAAAAAAAAAAAAAAATCATCAATCGATCGGCCGCTGCGTCCGAATTGACAAATATTTTATTCGGTCAAACGCCTTTATTTGCATTGCATTATATTTTATGTATTTATATTTACTCGAGATCGTAAAGTTGCTACGTATATTTGGCGTCCGCATGATGCACCTCTATACATGCCAATGCCGATCAAAGTATTTGTGCGTATTTACGCGCGTGTACAAACATTTTTTTTAACGTGCGAATGTTTAATCGGGGAGGCCGGTCGCTCTTTTCGCGAAATATAATGGCGTACGTACGTTATATTTGCGATATGTCAATGCGGAGATACATAGGATTCTTTTTTCTCTTCGTTACATTTTTCACGCTATCGCGCGGCTACATCGCGATCTCATCGCATCGTCGTAGTCGTCGCCTCGTTCGGGCGCGCACCTCTTGTGTACACACGCGTACATTATCAGCTTTCAAGTTTTTCATCATTATCAGGCAGCGGTATATAGCAACTCTGTGCTTTGCGAACGAGTTTCGCGAGCGATGAATTGGTTTTCTGAATGATTCACGTAGGCCTATCTCTATATGCCGGATAATAACACTTATTACACGCGTCGTATTTACACGCGGCTATTGTATTTTCGTTGATGCAGTACTCCTGGAATGCTTTGATTAGTCAGAGATGCCGATGATGCATTTTCATCTTATTTTTATGAACTCTCGAGGTTTCGGAAATGACTTTCAATCTCATGAATCATGATATCAGATTGATCAAGAGTTCATTGAACTCGCACAGTAATAGGAGAAACCTGTTGTCTAAAAAATCTATTGAGCAAGTGTTCCATGAAAGATAACAAAAAAAATCAATTCGATGATATTACTATACATGGTCGCGACACTTTTTACCTTGAATAAACATAGGCTCTCCTATTTTATCAGTGGTACGAATCAATATACGGATTTAAAATTATAACACGTTGCCGATCGATTCTCGAATGGGTTTTTTGGACTATTGAATTAGATTTTTCATCGAGTCTAAAAAATCAAAGTAGCAATTAAATTAATCTGTTATCTCCAATAAAACATTTCGGTGAAAAATGGTGAAAATAAGAAATATTTTGCATCGATGTAAAGAATGAACAAAACATAAAAAGGATCCGCAATTTTGCCAACAGACTCGAAAGATCCCGAGGCGTATCGTTACGCGCCCAAGCCCCAGCACTACCCCTCGAACTACAACATCATGGAGTCGAGGCTGCGCGAGATTCGCGCCGAGTTCATGTACTGGTACTTCGACAAGGGCGGCGACAACAACTACGGCGATTACCAGACGGACATACACAACTCCATGCCGCAGCTCCACAAGAACTTCAACTTCCAGCTGCCGTTCTTCGGCTTCCGCTTCAATTACACGAGAGTTAGTAACCGCTTCCGGCGGGCATTATCTCATCCTCTTTTTCTTGCTTAAATAATTATCGATGATTAATGCGTCGCTCGAGCCTCTATTATCGATGACTAATATATTTTGTGGCTCTCGCCGAGTGCAGCTATCGATGAACGGCTTCCTGGAATTCAGCGACCCGCCCGAGCACTACACGTATCCGCTGAATTTCCCGATCTCCGACTGGCCGAAATCCAACGACCCGTCGTTCATCGGGCCCTTCTTCAGCAAGTGTCGCATCGGTAACGTCAAGCCCACCGACTCGGACCAACGCAAGCCCGGCGTCTACTTCCGCATGGAGCGCGATCTGCAAAAGCGCACCGATCAGTTCGGCGTGGAGATGCGCGAGCGCCTCATGTGGGACATACGCGAGGGCGTCGTCGGGGCCGACTCGTTCGAGCCCAAGCACGCGGTCATCGTCACCTGGAAGAACATGTCGTTCGCCGGCGGCATCGACGTCTCGCTCTACAAGACCAACACGTTCCAGCTGGTGCTGGCCACCGACGAGGTCTACACCTACGCCATGTTCAACTACCTCAATCTGCAGTGGTCGTCGCACACCGAGGCGGGCGGCGACACCACCGGTGGAGAGGGTGGCACGCCCGCCTACGTGGGCTTCAACGCCGGCAACGGCACGGGCGCCTACTCCTACTATCCGTACTCGCAGCAGATGACGATTCGCGATCTGCCGAGTCGCGGCTGGGCCAACGGCTTCCCCGGCAGGCACATCTTCCGCATAGATGAGAAGATCATGTTGGGCAACTGCAACAAGGATATATGTGAGTCAAATTTTACATTTCATTATCTAATAAATGTCTTCGCTGACATTTTCATTTGAAATATTGATAAAAAAAAAGAAGAAAGTTACAACAATCCTTTCTTAATAAACTACATTGATCCTTTCTTCGAGAAATAATTAATTTTCACAATTAATTTTGAATAGTTTTAACTTGAGTTTGTGCACAAGACATGACTCTTATTAAACCTGTAGACAATAAAAAAAACCCATGATTGTGTGTTGATTTTCTCACTTGTCTCAATGACAGGGATGCAATTAAGAAACTAATTGCTTTTATAAAAAATAATGGCATCTAATAGAAATAAAAATCTAAATTCCACAAAGAGCTTGTAAAATATTTTGGTTTTGGGGTAATGATCTTTTAACCCGAAATATTGTACATCTTTCGTAGAGTTTCGATTTTTATATCCATTAGCTGCACTTAAGCCATTGGGTTTTAAATTGTCATCTCTTACATTGGGATATGTGAAAAAATCAGCACATATAATCTGGAACCATCTGTCCATCTATATATATCGCCGTTGCTTACGAGTAAAAACACAGTGAAAAACTCTACGAAAAAAAACATACTGATAAAATGCCCCGAAAAAAAACACAGCTCATTAAATGCTGTGAAAAAAAACACACCTCATCGGAGCGCCACGAAAAAAAACACACCTCATTGAATGCCATGAAAAAAAAACACAGCACATTGGATACCGTGAAAAAAAACACAGCTCATTGGATGCCGCGAAAAAAAACACACCTCATTGGACGCCACGAAAAAAAACACAGCAGAATAAAAACGCAACAAAATTCGATTCGGTGTGTTTTTTTTTCGCGGCATCCAGTGAGCTGTGTTTTTTTTCGCGGCATCCAATGAGCTGTGTTTTTTTTCGCGGCATCCAATGTGCTGTGTTTTTTTTCATGGCATTCTATGAGGTGTGTTTTTTTTCGCAGCGCTCCGAAGAGGTGTGTTTTTTTTCGCAGCGCTCCGATGAGGTGTGTTTTTTTTTCGCAGCGTTCCAAAGAGGTGTGTTTTTTTTCATGGTATCCAAAGAGGTGTGTTTTTTTTCACGGCGCTTCGATGATGTGTGTTTTTACTCGTAAGCAACGGCGATATATTGAAAACTTTTGAGTCAACTATATTTTTACTTAATTCCTTGAGTAAAAACTTTTATGATCTCTTACTATTCGTAAAATGGCATATAAAATCGTTTGTAAGTTCGTGTGATGAACTTTGACAAAAACTCGCTCGAATACCAATTGCAACCATTTGAATTTGGCAGCCGGTACCGATCTTCCTCTCGTCTTCGCCCCTGAAAGCGGCAACATGTTGGGCGGCACCGTGGTAAACATCACCGGGCCGTGCTTCCAGCCCAACGACAAGGTCATCTGCCGTTTCGAGACCGAGGAGGTCGTCGGGACCGTGGTGGACACGAGTCGCGCCATCTGCATACAGCCCTTCGTCAAGATGGAGGGCTACATCAGGCTCGCCGTGGCCATCAACGAGGGCGGCTTCAACTGGAAGGGCCGATACTTCGTCGAGACCCCCGCCACCGCCACTAAGAAGATCTTCTTCGAGGACAATCGCATGGTGTTCGAGCGCGCCCCCGAGGAGATCAAGATCAGCTGGAACGCCTACAATTTGACCAGCAATTTGAACGCCCTCGTGCAGATCTCGCTGTGGGGCTATCGCGAGACCATCATCAGGCCCGAGCTCGAGTTCATCGATATGATCGAGGATAGCACAGTCAATAACGGACGATACACGATCACGCCTCAAAATTTCAGAGATCGCATGAACGTGCGAAACAACGACATGCAGTTCGGTTTTCTTCAAATCAATCTCACCAACCCCCACAATTACAACGATCTCGCTTTGACACCGTAAGTTACTGCAAACTAAAATCCTTACGAGCAGCAAAAATTTCAAAAATGCCATGATCTAATCTAAAAATCGTTACCCCCAAGCGTCCTGTGGAGCGAGCCGATCCCTCTGGCTTGGTACTTCAACCCCCAGTGGACGAGGATGTACGGTCAGAACTGGCCGAAGCGCCTCTGCGATCAGTGGATCGAGCGCGATCGCTACCTCAAAAATTTCGCCCACGAAGTGTCTCTCTGCCCGTGCACCCTCGAGCACGCCCTCAACGACAAGGGTCGCTTCCTGCCCGACCAGCACTGCGACATGAACGTGGCGCCGTCCTGCATCTACAACAAGGGCGCCATTCACTGCGTCACAACGGGCTCGCCAAAGTCAGTATAAACGCAACTAAATTATCAACTTGCTGCGATAACGATTTATATTCGATCCAATTTAATCACAGTAACGAGGGTGCCGAGCAGCAGTGCTGCTACGACCGCAACCACATGCTGATGCTGTCCTACGATCAAAAATGGGGCTCTCGACCGCGGCGCTCGCACAATCTCGGCCTGCTGCCCTGGAACGAGGCCAACAAGGTACCCACCCTGTCGCACTGGTACCACGACATGACCGCGCTGCACACCTGCTGCTTCTGGCAGGAGGAGCAGTCCGTGGGCTGCGAGACCTATCGCTTCGAGCTGCGTCCCTCCCAGGACTGCATCGCCTATCAGGCCCCGGCCGTCGCCACGGTCTTCGGCGATCCGCACATCGTCACCTTCGACGGCCTCGAGTACACGTTCAATCGTCAGGGCGAGTTCGTGCTGGTCAAGGTCGACGACAACAAGCACAAGCTCGACATACAGGGCAGATTCAAGCAGGTGCCGGAGAACATTTACGGGGAGGTGCGCGCCACCCAACTCACCGCCGTCGCAGGTACGTCATTCCATTGACTTTATTTGCTTATTGACCAATGAAAATATGGAAAAAGCTCTTGAGCGCTTTTTTGATGAAAAAATCTTTTTGTAAAATCTTACTTTTCATAATCGATACTAAAAGTTCTTACGTAGGAACTGGCTTAACTTGAAAGCTCTGAATGCGAGAGTAAAATCTTTAGTTGGAACTCACGTTAATAAGAACGTTGGAACTTACGTAAGAACTTGTGGCCGTCTTGTAAGATTTTCGATCAAAAGTATTGAGAAAAAAGTCAAGTTGACGGGTGAGACTTTAAATACGGTCTTATGGAAGCTCTTACTACCGAACTTACTATCAAATTTAGGGCTTTTGATTTGATTAAGAATCGAACGTGAGATCTTACTCACGATCTTATGAAAATTTATATAAAAAGCTCGTGTAATTAGCATAATTAGTTTCTTAAATTATGTATTTCTGTGTCAACAGCCCAGTGCAACAGCTCGCAGACCGTGGAGGTAAAGCTACGCCCGACCCACTCGCAGTGGCGCTACCATCTCGACGTGATGGTCGGCGGTCGCAAGGTCTACTTCGATCGCCAGTCCCTCAAGTACCAGCACTTCGGCAACATCGTCGTCTACACGCCGCCCTACATCCTCAACCAGAGCGAGGTCGTGATCATGTTCGACACGGGGGCCGGTATCGAGGTACTGGAGCGCAACGGCTTCATGTCGGTGCGCGTCTATCTGCCCTGGACCTACATGAACAAGACGCGCGGCCTGCTCGGCAATTGGAGCTACGACATCCTCGACGACTTCACGAATCCGGACGGCACCGTAGCCCCGGTCACGATATCGGGTGACAAGCAGGACCAGTTCCGGGAGGTCGACCTGAACTTCGCCATGAAATGGATGGTGAGCCGCAAGTCCGACGAGAAGACCGGCCGGGGCGTGTCGCTGTTCCAGCCCGAGTACGGCCTCGACAGCGTCGGCTACAACGGCAACGGCACCTTCCAGCCCGAGTGGCGGAGAAACATCAACGACATTTTACCCAACAACAGAAGCATAGACAAGCAGAGAGCTCAGGATCTGTGCGGCGACTGCTATCAGTGCCAGTACGATTACGCGCTGACCCTGAATCGCGACATGGCCGTGACCACCAAGGACTTCTACGACAGCTTTACCCACATACGCGAGACCAATCAGCGGATAAGTAAGTGCAATCGAGTACCATATTTTTCAATACATATAAACACGAGAATATTTAATTTAATTCGTTATTGTGGCCAACCCCAATAGTCATATCCTGCGGCATCCTCGAGACTCCGCGCTTCGGCATGAAGTCCAACTTCCTGTTCGTGCCCGGTACCAAGGTGACGTTCCAGTGCAACGAGCACTTCGTGCTCATCGGCGACGCGAGACGCATCTGCATGCCGGACGGTCGCTGGGACGTGCCGATCTACGGATACACCGAGTGTTTGCGTGAGTTTTGCCTCTCCTTCTTTATTACATTATGATAATAGCACGATGCAGCGGACTTACTTCGCTTCCGGCGAAATTGGATGAGTCGCAGCTATTTTTATTTTTAATTTTGTTAATGCCGTTCAACAGGCCAGATCGAGTACGCGCAGCGCGTCGCCTGGAAGGCCATCGGCATCATCGTGTCGATCGGTCTGCCGGTCAGCCTCTTAGCCCTCGTCATCTGGTTCTTGATGAGGGGCTCCGGCTCCGAATCGGGCAGCTACTTGGCCAGATTACCCTGGGGCAGCTCCTACTCGTCGCAGCAACAGCAGCAGCGTCAGCAGCAGCAGCAGCAGCAAATGCAGGACGACGCCTCGTCGCCGAGCCTGCAGCTCCAGGAGCAGAAGCAGCCGATCCAGGAGACGGACTCGAGCAGTCCCAACAGCGATCCGGCTGCGAAGCTCGACTCGCTGCGCCAGAGGCGACGCTACGAGGGCGTCTACAGGACCAACGAGCCGCTGCCCGGCAAGCCCGACATCGAGTTCGAGGACAAGGAGTGGGATCTGAAGGAGAACGACCTGCCCGCTGCGCTCAGACGGCCGGCCAGCAATAGACCCAGCCCGGTCAATGTGGTGGACCAGGCCAGCATCAACAGCAGCCCCGAGATGAGCCAAGCGGCCGCTTCGTCGGTCTCGTCGAGGAGACCGCAGCAACAGCAACGGCCAATGGATGCTCCAGGCCTCGGCATTCCCGCCGCCTCGCCCTACGTTCCTGGGACCATGGGCTTGGCGCAGTTTGCCTCTATCAAACCTAGCGCCGTTTAGAGACCTTATCTTACTCCTATTACCTTAATAAAGCATCGTAATTCTGCGTAGGCATTCAAGAGAGCGGAAAAGTGCCTTATTTACATTAGAGCATTTGATACCATGCAAAATCATTCGAATCCAAGGATTGTTTATTACATTTTCATTTCATAAGTATGAAACCATATATAGATCTCAAAGTATAAATGCATGATAAAACGACGCTTTCATTCACCTTTTTTTTTCATCGTTTTTAGCGAAACAAAAAAAATTAGATGTAGTAGATTTGACTTACGATAGATTTATTGTACCTGTAGCTTTTAACACTTATTCTTTGTAAATATTTTATATGAAAAATAAAATTTTATAATTTCAAACGATACGTAACATTTTGTGAGCTTTGGGCAGCGTCGTGTCGATTGGTTTACATTGCACGATGATCGCTCATCATTGTTAAATGATTTCAGGATTTGCCTTCGACGTAAGCGTCGTTTACCTGATCTTGAAAATCTATTTTTCAGATCGATAAACGATACAAACGATCGAAGATATGTATGATGAATCCGATGGATGTAATCGTCGATTCGATAAAATGGCAAATATGTCGCAATCTTCCACTGAGTTCACATTGCGTACCCTAAGTTAAAATTCACCGTCGCTAGAGAGAATAAGTACGGTGCGATGTGGCATGATATCATTAAAATATGTATAAACTTAACGTTAATAAGATTTGAACATGTTCTATCAATTAAAGTATTTAATTTTCGTTTTATTATGCAATATACCGTCATCTCCATTTTTAAAAAGCTTTTGTGGGCAAATCAGTGCCACAATGTAAATAGATAATATAAGGGACATACAGAGCTATATCCAAGTCCTTTTTTTCTTTATTATATTTACGTACATATGTGCAATGTTCGTGATAAATTTTTTACGATAATCCAGTACATTTATTATTTTCAAAATGCGCAAGCGTTTCGTACGCTTATAAATTTACTTATAATAATAATTTTAGAGGCACGAGGGTGCACACAAGTTGAATGAAAAAATTTTTCGCGGCACATGGCAAATTTAAGGACGAATAAGCCACGAACGTGCGTGAGCTTTTCGTTGCGCAAGTACAATGCCAATCATAAAAGGTGGAAATTTATGAATCGTTTAATCCAAAATTTTCCGATACTTTGTATCACAATGTAATTATCGATCGTGTCTTTTTGTACTGTCCAACTAGAACTTTTTATCTTAATTATGGCGGCCCCGCTCGTGGCTTAACATTTTTCATGACTCCTTATATCATTAATTTTCTTATAATATAAGCGAAATCAATGAGCAGAATAATAGATATTGTCGCAAAATTGCAGGCTGATGAATCGTATCGCGATTATTTCATTTTCTCATTCTTTTGCTAATTATTCTCAAAAAATACCCTGTCTTCATTCATTCTTTTCGTTTAAAAATTCTAATTAAAAATAAGTAGGGCATCGAATGATTCAAGAACAAAAAAAAAGTTGGTTGCTGTCAAATTTGCATGATTTAAAAATTCTTCGAATCATTTGCAACAAGATTCATGCATAAACGAATTAATTTTATGTACAGTTGTTAGGAAGTGGAAATAAATGCAACAATTTGTTATATTATATTAATAATAAAGACTACGTTTACCCTGGTAGAAATGCAACATTTTTTCACCGATAGTGTAACGCTTTTTCTCATATAAAATGGCCATTTAATGGTCATTTGCCATGAATGGCTGTGTATGCGCTGGTCTTCACTTAAGAAAGAATACAGCACGTGCCAAAAACCCATTCAATGACTTGCAAGTTTTGTCGGCTCGTTAAGTCATCGAGTATTTAAAACGTGAGAAAGTGTTGTTTTGGATACTAGATACTCGGACAAGGACCGACTGCGTACAAAGTAATACAAAAATGAAATACGCAGCATGGAAAAACTCGCATTCATGCGTAATCGGCTGTGTATGCGCTGGTCATCACTTTGGGCCAGAAAAGTGGCAATTTTCCCATCGAATACTGTTATCTCGACTAATCGCCTAGAAAGATAAGAAAGAATACAGCACGTGCCAAAAACCCATTCAATGACTTGCAAGTTTTGTCGGCTCGTCAAGTCATCGAGCACTTACAATGTGAGAGAGTGTTGTTTTGGATACTAGATACTCGGACAAGGACCGACTGCGTACAAAGTAATACAAAATTGAAATACGCAGCATGGAAAATCTCGCATTCATGCGTAATCGGCTGTGTATGCGCTGGTCATCACTTTGGGCCAGAAAAGTGGCAATCTTCTCATCGAAAAACTGTTATCTCGACGAATTGCCTAGAAAGATAAGAAACAATATAGAAATTGCCGAAAAACTATTCAATGACTTGCTAGTTTTGTGGGCTCGTTAAGTCATCGTGTAGTAGCGAATTATCTCGCTCGCTCAGGCTCGCTCGGTATAGTCAGGGTTTGGTCAGAATCTTTGAGAAAGCAAGAATTATAAAATAGGTTTCCACAAGGTATATACTAGGTAGTTAGAATGTATATACCTCGTATTTACAAGGCATGTACTAGATATATATGCGGCCGATTCTCTGTGGTCAAAAAAATTTTTTTACTGCGAATATGAAAAACTTTTTGTATTTGAAGTCAGATGTGTCCTAAAAAATTTTTTTTAAAAATGAGGGCCTTCTATGACACTTTTCAGATGCCCAAAGTTGGCCATATTAGGGTTTTTTGAAATACGTGAAAAATTACAAATATTCAAATAATTCCTGGATCAGGGTAGAATGATTCAAAAGTAAAAGTGCCCAGCAACTTTTTTGTTGGAAATTGTCCAAATTTTCAGAAAAAAAATATGCCAAAGTGATTGGAGCTACCTAAAGACATCATAGTGGGAAAACATACAAAAAAAACATAAAACAAGAAATCTACTCGAGTTTGAACCGGACTTTCATTTCCTAAACTATGTAAAAAGCTTCCCAAAGATGTCAATTAATGCCTAAAATCACCAAAAACAGCCAATGTTAGGTCTTTTTTGCACGTTTTTCGCCACGCATTGTTGTCTATATTGCGTTAAACTTTAAGATCCATTACAAAACTGTATCAGGCATTAGTTGACATCTTTGGGAAGCTTCTTACATAGTTTAGGAAATGAAAGTCCGGTTCGAACTCTAATAGATTTCTTGTTTTATGTTTTTTTTGTATGTTTTCCCACTATAATGTCTTTAGATGGCTCCAATCACGTTGGCAAATTTTTTTTATGAAAATTTGGAAAATTTTCAACGAAATAGTTGCTGGGCACTTTCTCTTTCGAATCATTCTACCCTGATCCAGGAATTATTTGAATATTTGTGATTTTTCACGAATTTCAAAAAAACCCTAAAATGGCCAACTTTGGGCCTCTGAAGAAGTTTCATAGAAGGCCCCAATTATTCTAAAATTTTTTTGGGACAAATCTGACATCAAACACAACAAGTTTTTCATATTTGCGGAAAAAAAATTGTTGTGACCATTCGATTTCACAGAGAATAGGCCATTTATAATGTATATACCTTGTGCAATGTACATACCTTGTAAATACAAGGTATTTATAATATACCTTGTAAATGTATAATGAATTTATTTTCTTTTTTTTTTGGTCATTGGTTTTCTAGATTTTTTGGGGAGGACATAACTTTTAGAGCGAGACTCATTCAACGCGTAATATATAGATATTTAGCTGTACCTTATAAGTACGGAAAAATGGTGTATTTCATCAATTTTTGTATACACCAGGCGATGGATATGAAGCTACAAGTTTTGCTACTTTGGTTCTTCAGTTTCGACTTTTGTTACTCCTGGCAAAGCGGTATGATCGATATTATAAAATTATACATTGAATAGTTAAGATGTATAAATTTTATTCCATGAACGATCGAAATGCAAAATTTTGATTCGTTAATCAACGCGAATTTCTTATGTATTTCGTTAAAAAATATCTTTTTGCACTTAAAAAAAAAAAATAATATTTTTTCTTTAAATCCATGATCCAAAATATTATTTGAAAATTAAAGAGAAAAATATGGTTGAATTAAATACAAAAAAGAGAATATTTTCGATAAAAATATTGTTTCATTCAATTTCCTTTTAAAACTGCTACAAAATCATCTTTTGATTATGTTGGAAGGTACCGCAGTATTTATTATAAACTTAGATACTTAAACTAATACGTTGTCGGAATGTTTTCCTGAGCTCCCATCAAATGAACAAGAAATTAAATATTTTTGTTAATCCGACGTGCAGTGTACATGAGTCATTTCACGTCAAGTCTCCTAGCGCGGCGCCCGCGCGGCATTATTAATCGAAATTGTTCAATTTGTAACTCGCCAGAAAAGCACCTAAATGCACCCAGAAAAAATATGTGCCATATGATTTTGATAGGAAATTTTCTCAGCTTTCCGATGATGAGGTCAGCTGTTCCCGCGCGCAGTACCCCGCGCGGCGCAAAATCTCACGTTTTTACACGTTCGTCGCTGTATTTCATTGAGTAATTATCAAAAGTACTCTCTGTAAACTTGCATATCGATAGGAAATTTCCTCAGCTTTCGATTGGAACTATTTAAAAAAATCTTAAAAATGCCGTTTTTGAGATATTTGAGTTTGAAAGTTTGTGTCAAGTTTTTCCGGGAAAAATGGAAAATTTTTGAAAATCTGACCTCATCATCGGAAAGCTGAGGAGATTTCCTATCAAAATCATATGGCACATATTTTTTCTGGGTGCATTTAGGTGCTTTTCTGGCGAGTTACAAATTGCGCAATTTCGATTAATAATGCCGCGCGGGCTCCGCGCTAGGAGACTTGACGTGAAATGACTCACATATAGAAATGTTTTTATGACCCTTTACAAAAATGAGCCTCAAAATTCTAAGAATTGTAATAATTGTTCATGAAAGTTAAAGTAGTCCTGCAAAAAAAGGAAGGTTAACATGAAAATTGTTGATCAAACATTATAAATGATTTCTGGAAACCATCGAATTCACAAAAAATATCATAAGAACAGAATTGTTTTAGAATTCTAGAAACATCTCAAATGTTGATAAAATTGAACTACAATCAACTTTTCAAGAAATTATCTTTAATACATTCCAAAATACTATATTTTACGATACTAGTGGCATAAGTAACACTTTTTGGTACGGCCCAGTTTTTTGGCCCAGCTATTCGGCCCTAATAGCTGGGCTGAAAAGAGTTCCCTGTGTCACGAGTATCGTACAACATTTTATAGTAATCACTCAACTTAATAATCAAAGTTTATAAAATATCGTTTATATTTGTAAATGCATTCTATGCATATAATTCGAATAGATTCACAACTGTGTAAATTAATTGTACTGTCTTTGTGTGTGTGCAACACCACCATTATCGGCGATTCCAATAAAACTGTAAGTTTATTATAATATCTCTTTGATATTATACTTCCTTTTACCCTAACCCTACTCAATAAGCGACATATAGTATATTTTGTAACAAGTGCGCGAAGCAGTTGACTCACCCAGGAGTTGTTTTCACCCGAGCGTAGCGAGGGTGCAAAGACTCCAGGGTGAGTCAACTTCCTCGCGGACTAGTTGCAAAGGATATTTTTTAACTCTGTTTGCGAGAAACTAGAGTTTTCTGACGCTTTAAGGTTAGAAAACCCGTGTTTCGCGCACGCAGTGTTAAAAAATAAATAAAAGGTTTCTTGTTATAATTCCGACTATGGGGTATGTAACAACTCTATTACAAAAAAAGTGATTAAGAATTTCTCGAACAAAATTTTAGTCTCTAAAGCCTTTTGAATAATGAAGGAAAGAATTTCTGCATGATTGTAGGTATGTACAGTTTTTATTGCTGTTTGAAAAATTCTGTATACAAGGAAAAAACTTAAAACTTTTCTAAATGACAAACTATTGCAAATTGACGCAAATAATTTAATAAATATCGTCACAGAATTTTGCAATGTGCAAACGTGACAAACAGTAAAGTATAAAGTCCATTACTTTCGGTTTATAAATCTAAGCAAGATTAGTCGTTTTTTTCATAACGTTGATATTGATGAAATAAAAAATAAGCATATAATTCTAATTAAACTCAAAAATGAAGATAAGTGAAGTGAATTAAAAATTTACATTAAAAAAAAAAAAAAACGATTAAATACTTGTTAAATTAATTTAATAATTTTAATGTATCCATTAATACCGACATAATTGAGCATAATTGGAATTTTTGAACATTGAAAAAAATGATCATTATCTATAAGATTTTTCATACCAGCGGCCAGAAAGTGACTACTTCTCGGCCGCTGCGCAAAACGAGAAGAGCTATTTTCTGGCCACTATGTATGAAAAATAGTATACAGGCCTATGCCGCGAAAAAAGAAAGCCCCAGAGCACGTGTTTATCGGCCTCGGCTTCGCCTCGGCCACTAATTACACGTACTCTGGGACTTTTCTGTTTTTCGCGCCCTAGGGCAGTAATATACTATTATTTCTCTTAATTAAAAGAGTTCGGGAAAAATTAATACATATTATCAATCAATTATTTTCAACTAGCCCTTTTGGTTCTATACAATTCTTCTTTGACTCGATATTTGATTATGTTTTGGACTGTTTGTTGTTTTTGATGAATGTCAAAAAAAAATTAAATATAAGCTCTAAAACCGATTGGGTCTAAGTAAAAACGGGAATATTTTATTTCTGACTGAGGAGTCCCTGATAAATATTTGGTGAACACATCAGCGTTTCTTATTTCAATTATAGTTCTTTGTATGGAAAATATTAAGCAGATAGCGGGATACAAAATCTTTTTGTAATTTTCAAGGAAATAAATACTTAGAAATGTATAAATATAAGTGCGCAGATGGTTTTTTTTAATTTTATACCAAAATCGTGTAGGACCTGAGCTTTTAAGACCGAATTTTACAGCACGAAGTAATAATTATAGTTACTATCTTACGTCAATCATAAAGAACATTAATGCTACATTTTTCTGCCATATATATTCAGTTGTAGCTTGCAAGTATCAAAGAATTCTTCATTTCATCAAGTTATCTATACAGCAAGTGCTGGAAATGAAGCTGCAACTTTTGTTATTTTTGTTTGCTAGTTTCAACTTAGGGTCGGCTAATGTATACTACCAAACAGGTATGATTCATTTAATAAAAATATATATTAGATTGTCTAGATATACGAGTTTTACACAGTTAAAGCTCAAAACTCAAAATTTTTATTTGTTTTTTAACGCGATTACTCCTATGTATTTCGTTAAAAAAAATGTTGTTTGTATATATTGTGACGAAAAATTATCTCTTGTTTCTAAAGCCATGGACAAAATTAGACGTAGACATTATATAGAAAAAATATGTGCCCCGATTCAAATTAACAATGCTTTTGAAATAGTTATTTACATACCAAGGGCAAGAAGCCGAGTAAATACGGTCGAGGAGATCGTTTGGCAGTGACATTGTCAGACAGCGCCTCAGCCGCGTAACGGCGTGCGAACATCTCAAAATTTTTCAGAATTTTCGAAGAAAATTAGAAAATTTATAATTAAATATTCATGACTTTTTTTCAAGCATAATATTTTTCAGAATAAAATTGTTTCAATTAATTGTAGAATATCCCGAGAAAAAAATTCCGCAATTTTTTTGTTCGTGATTCTAAAATAATTATATTTACAAAATTTCTTTTAAACCGATGGCATGGGAAAAATCGCGTTGAAATCAGCACATAAATCGGGCCAAATGGTCTTTAACAAGTCAATAATTTTTTCACCGTTTTAATTATCACTCATTTACAGTCCCAGAATATGGTGGATATCAGCAACAATTTAGAACTGTATCATATGGCCCAAGATATACATTTTATTCACTGCCAATTGTCACACAGACTGTGTATTCATTTCAGCGCGTTAGCTCTTATGGTATTACGGAGGTCAATAAAAGAAATACAATAGCCATAGGAAATATACTTGCAAAATATTCTGTTGACCAAGGAACTCTTCAAAGCATTCTTCAATTTTTAAAGTTTGATTCATATCAAGACGGTAGATATACGCAGTACCTGTATAACCTGTTACTGCAAATTACGTATTTGACAGGTAGTAACTATGAAGTTAGAGTGAAAGCAATGCGACTTGTAAGTCAGATAATACTAGAATATATGAAGAATAATTCAGTTGATGAACAGTGGATTTTTAATCAAATCAATAGTTTAAATATTCACAATCGTGATAAAAAAGCACTGGTTAAAATTTTAGTAACTGATTTTAAACGGCCAGAAAAAGAAAAAAGCAAAAAAGACCAACAAAAAAGTCCAGAGAAGTACATAGATATTGAACAATACGGAGAAAATGCTCAAAAAGTGATGAACATATTTATTCAAAGAAATATCGATGTAAGTACAAGAAAAATATTGATCGAATTCTTGACATATGATCAGAAAGCAGGTGGTATGCATGCTGAACTTATTTTGAAGTTAATAAATCAAATCTTCAGTTGGAATATTAGTGCTGAGGTGCAAAAAGAAGTACTTGAACTAATAGTAATTAGAATCAGAGAATATCAGACAGGCGGTAAATATTCCAATCGGGATATTATTACAATGAGAAATAAGATTGAAAAATTTAATGTTTCAAATACGATAAAAAATAAGATACTTTATTCTTTGATTATAAATTTCTCCGAAAAAAGACGACAAATCCAGGAAATAATAATTGTTAACAATTTAAATCAGAGAATGCAAAAACAATTTCTTGACCTTATAAGCAAAACTTCAGCTGAAGTTGTTGCATATTATGAATATATTTTGCAACTCATGATACAAGTCGTTCAATTGGATATAAGTAATGACGTTCGAGCGAAAGTTATAGAATTGATAGTCTTTAGAGTTATACAATTCGAACTCAATGGCGGTTCCATTAAAGCAGATGAACAGACGATTCAAAATCAAATTTTACAGTTGAATACTACTCAATCTATCAAAAATAATCTTATTCAACTTCTGCTTCGAAACTTTAAAGGACAAGTTTTGCACCCAAAAAGCACAGGACCAAGTAAGCCTCCTCCGCAAACGGCATCCGTTCAAGCTGTTTCACGGCCAAAACAGCATGAAGATTTCAGCAAGTATGGAAAAAATATTCAAAACGTAATGAAATTATTGATTGAAAAAAATGTAGATGAAAATTCAAGAAAACAGTTGCTCAAAATTTTAGCATCTGATTCAGCAGCAGGTGGAACATACGCTGAATGGTTTTTTAAGACTATATCCAAAATATTTAAATGGAATACAAGCGACGAGGCACGAAAAAGGGAAGTTGAACTACTTATATTCAGAATAGAACAATATCAGAAAAACGGTAAATATTCCGATTCTGATATAATTAAAGTCAGAAATGAAGTTGAAAAATTGAATATAGAGAGAAATTGGAAAAATATGTTGACCCACTTTTTGATAACTGATTTCAAAGGAAGGAATTCAGACGTAAAGGATGAAAATAGACGAAAAATTAAGGAAATAATGATTGTCAAGAATGTAACAGGGGATAAACAGAAAAAAATAGTAGAACTGTTAAGTGATAATTCCAATGAATGTATAGCATATATTCAATATATTATGCAACTGATGAGAACAATCATTTCCTGGACTGTTACCAATGATATTCAAACACAAGTAACCGAACTGTTAGTCTACAGAATTTTGCAATTCCAAATTGATGGGGGTCTGACAAAAGAAGTTGAGCAATTGATTAAACAAAAAATTTCACAATTGAACACTACTGGAGAATGGAAGAACCGTTTCACGCAATTTTTACTCACAGAATTTAAAGGACAGGATCTCACCAAGTATACAGAAAATGTTAAGAAAGTGATGAAAGCATATATCGAAAATAATGTTGATGAAACTATAAGACTTACTTTACTACAACTGTTAAAAAAAGACCAGAGAGTGGGTGGTGATGATTTTACTTCCAAAATTTTAACTGTGATAAATAATATTTTCAGTTTTGGTATAAATAACGATGCGAAAAAAAGTATTCTCGAACTACTGGTAATCAGAATCAAAGAATATTCGACAAACGGTCCATATTCCGATCCAATTTTATTGAAAAAACAAATCTATAACTTAAATGTACCGGAAGACCTCAAGTGGAACATACTTTACACGTTGATTTTTTCTTTATTAGAACCTACACCAAAAATCGCAGAAATAATGATTCTCGACAACGTCAATGTGGGTATGCAGAAATTATTACTTACACTCATAGCCGATAATTCAGCTGAAGCTCGTGCATACTCTGAATATATTTTCGATCAAATGATGGAGATCGTTCGTCGGCGTTTCATAAATGATATTCCAGCAAAGGCACTAGAATTGTTTATCTTCAGAATATTACAATTCGAACTTAATGGGGGATCCAATAAGGATGATGAACAATGGATTCGAACTCAAATTTTACGATTAAATATTGAAGTTTGGACAAACCAACTAATTAAAATTGTGATTGAAGACTTTAAAGGACAGCTTCTTCACTCTAAAAATTGTAGAAATGCTAACTCTGAATCAAATGCAATTCAAGACAATAAAATCAATACAAGTCAAGCAAATCCAACACAAGACAATACAATTAATACAAGTCGATCACATCCAACTCAAGATAATAAAATCAATACAAGTAGTAGAAATCAAGGATCATGTATCGGTTCATGCTCGGGCGGAGTACAATATTTGCCTCATGCAGACTGTTCAAAGTTTTGTCAATGCTCCAACGGTCGTCCCATTGTTATGCCTTGCCCAGCAACACTTCAGTGGGATACCAAAATAAATAATTGCAATTATCCTGATCAAGTTCAGTGCCCAAGTTAATTAGGTGATGTAAAAATAGAAATTTGACTTCAACAAGTTACCTATATATTTCCGCTGATGATATTTCAGTAAAAGTACAACAGCTAATGGTAGAAAAGGCAGAATCCCTGCAATTAATTAATGATTAAAGCAGGCTGCATCCACATAACGAAAATTTTTGAAGTATTTAATGTATTTCTATTGTAATTTGATGAAAAACACAAATTAAAATTAAAATGGTACGCAATAAAAATAAAATTTATAATTATTTTTCAACCATACATTTCAAAATTTTGATTGAATAATAAATTACAAGTACTTTTAAATATTACTAGAATGAACCTCTTGAAATGAGATCGTAATTTCTGTGTCGCATCTCTAAATATGATTATGAAAGATAAGAATAAAAATTAAAAGCCAATTGACAGATACAATGGATAAATTTTATACATAAAAACTAATGCGGGAAAATTTATTAAAAATCTTTCCAACAAAATTTCATTCTTGAAAACCGTTTTGATCCATGAAGAGGAAAATTCCTGCAAGAAATATCTATATGCAAATAACACATGCAAACATGAATTATCTGATCGAAAATGTTCTCTTTTTTCTCAAATTCTCATCAAAATGTAAATGTCTCTCTTTTGCAAAAAAAATAATGCTGAAAATGTGTGATAATATTATAATTTTGTGATATCGAACGATCAGGACCGAAAAATCGAACAAGATGAAAACAACTGAACATTTGAAAAAAAAGGATGTACAGTGCTCATTTTCGAACCTCACGAAAGTAGTTTATAACATCGGGATTTTCGCGACATAATTCTCCAGCAATTTCAGCACACGCAAAGCTAATAATCAAATCGATTGATTCCGCCCCTGCTAATAATTTTCATTTTCTATCTAATATTCATTTTTCATGCTTTTCGAAACTTTAATTCTTCAAACAATGAAAATAGTACTACTAGAACAATCATACGTCAAAAAACCAAAAACAAAAATTTGTGATCAATTTTTTGCAAATGCTAAAAATGTCACGTATGTTTTTGGTGTAAAAAATATTGTAAAAAAAAGTAGAGCTAAATCGCGTATTTTTTATTCTTGAAGAAATTAAGCGGATTTATTCGATTATGAAACGTGGTTTTGCAGACAAACACGATGACTATTCGCTAGAAAATAAGCTTGTAAAACCACGAGTTCTAGTGATTTTTTGTTCATAACTTTTAATTAGATTACAATCTCAATTTGAAATTTTCACTAAACAATCTTGATTAGTTTTAATTTCGATCGTTGTAACTTAACTTAAAAAAAAACCATGTCATATAATGAAAAACGCGTTCGATTTTGTCTTTACTTTTCACTCATAAAAATAAGTTTTTCAAGATACATGACTACGCCATTAGGAAAAAAAACATACAAAAAGCTATCAAAATGCATACTCAAAATATTTTTATGACGTACATTTGCGCGATGCAGTTCGTTAGTTAATAGCTCATATCCAACGTAGAACACAAAATAGCATTTTTTGCCGTCACTGCCCTAAAAAAAGGAACTATTATAGATTTTCGAAAATTTACGCAGCTTTTTTTTTAAACCTGGTCCTGCACAGACATACGTATACAGAAGCACTTGCCTAATTAAACATACATCATTTAATTAACTTTTTTTGCTCTTTATTAGCTATTCACGTTAACAGATATGCACGAGCGCTTTACACGTGTGTGTTTGTCGGAAAATTGTTGCTTGCTCGCTTGTTTCGCCTGATTTTCATTCGAAACATTTCACCACAGGCGAAGAGACCCGTCTGAAAATTTCAGACAGATCGTTTCGGCTATTGGCTAAGAGTAAGGGTGATCTTTTTCCCCCTACGTATTGCAGGTCAGCAAGAGTACAGCTCGCAACGCGTCACCCTAACCGACGGTGTTCTCCTCGCCCGTCTGGAAACGGCCATGCTCGTCGCGTTCATCGCAAATTTAGGAATTACGTCGAGAAGAAAGAGAGAGCCAAAGAGCTGGACAGGTAAATAATAACACTTCGTGTATATTTGTATACCGTACACTTTCCGAACGAATATACCGTGATGGTTTATGAAAAATTTGTCGTTATGTATTTTGCAGGAAACGATATAAGGAAATGCTGCGAATAAAAAGAGAGAAAAAATTGGAGGAAGAGCAAAAAGCAGCGGTAGCGGCGGTGGCGACGTTCGAGATGGCCGTCGCCTCGACTAGTCGCGTCGAAGACTGAAACTAATCGTTCTGCGACTTTTATTTAGAGGCGATATCGATTCCTTGCACGGAAGTAAAATATTCTCTCTCTCTCTCTCTCTCTCTCTCTCTCTATCTCTCGTGCTTGCATATTAGAGATAAAAAAAAAATTGTTCATCGAAGCATTGCTTTACATTTTTCTTTATCGATGCAGTTAATATTTATTTTTTTTTATATATTCAGGCCACCAGCGATAATTAGAAAAATCACAGGGAGCGGCAAATCTTATCAAATAAATAAATAAAAAAAATACCTTAGTGTTAAAATAGTTTATGTGCAAACAAAAAAATTATTGTTACATTTGTTGCAATTGTCAAACAAATACTAAGGGTACTCATTGGTGAACGGCTATATAATACATGTAACGTACAACAAATTCTACTTTGTTTTTTTACAATAAATTAGTTTTCGTCCAATAAAAATATGTTTACGACGCGCAGTTATAGTAATTATAAGGCATCCTCGTCCAACGCACCGACCGATACGTTCGCACAAACATCCCCTCGGCTCTTTTGGCTTCTTCCTCGCGGGCGCTTCTTGATGTCCAAGTGATGTATTCGCGGTTATTCTCCTTGATCGCCAAAGCTCATTCAAGAATATGTTTCCGTTTCTCTCAACGGCTACATGAAATGGTACGATTGGTAAATCGTAAACCACAAGTACTCTACTTGGATTAGCTGTAAAAATAAAAATAAGAAGTAGCCGTTAAGATTACGTATCCTTTAGCTTCATCGAGTTTAATTCTCAATCAAATTCTTACCAAAAATCTCAAGGCTTCCTTGAAATCGCGACAAAAGCCACTAGACGGTCGGCCTCGTCATCTCACTCCACGGAAACCTCAGGCTCCCTCGGAAGAAGCCTCAAGATACACCGTGGATTGTTCGCTGATCATTCCAGCCGGTTCACATTCTTCGATCCGTCGTCCTTCGTCCAAAATCGTGCCGTATCGGTCCACTACCTCCATCCACCCACCCCCTTGGATTCGCGCCATTGCGTCTTGGTCAATTTAGAGGCTATACCTCGGCCTCGGTACCTTTACCGGTTCGTCTTCCAGCATGAGCCAGTGGTAATAGAAAATGTACCCGCTAAGGACGATGAAGAAGAGCACCGGTCCCAAGACCGGCCTGAGTCTGCACAATCGGTAGAGCCCCAGGAACACTAACATCCACATGATGATTTCGACCTTTTTGGGTGCGGGACGCGCGAGTACGAGTAAAGTGTGTCAGTGTGGAACGTCGTACGAACGGTAAATCAGCAGCGGCTCCTCGATCGAGTTCGCTCGAAAATCAGAGAGCTGTGTATTATTCTCCAATTGATGAATGAAAATATAAACACGGGACCATACGTTGATTGAATCGATCGTACTATAAGTACACATAGTCAAATCGTCAACAATGGCTTATTTTCACTGATATAATTTAAAAGTATACACGGAAAGCAACGCGGACAATACAGGTTTAATTGAAATGCCACACGCAGCAGCATACATATATACCGATGTATACAAAGATCGAGAAAACGATTTTATTTCGTGCGGTCAAGAAAAAAACTTTATTTTTACTTACGAAAATGTTTCAATAAAAAAATTCTCTTTGGCCGATTTCCTCGCGCGCCAAGTTAAATAATCCGCAGCACCACGGGCGCATTGCAGAAAGATAAAGTTATATACATACCGCGAGCGAGCGCAGCGTATGGCATGTACATAATGTACACTCGAAATGAGATAACTTCAGTTTAAACTTTTTTGTTTACGAAACCCCGACGATTTGTATTATTTACAAAGTTCTCTCTCTCTCCCTCAGTTCTTTTACTCTCTTTTTACCCTCCGCACGACATGTCGAAGTTATAAAAGTAATTCTTGTCCATCTCTCGGTCGCACACAAATGTCGGCCTACTCGCTGGACTCGCTGGACTCGCTCGAGAAGGAGGAGGAGGAGGAAAAGAAAAAGAACGAGAAGGATCGGATAGTTCCTCCTTTGGGCATTCCACGGGACGACGAGGACGACGACGATTTCCAGCAGAAGCAGCAGCTCGAGGTACTACTACTACGGCAGGGTAGAGCTGAAATTCCATACCAATACTTATGACGCGCGCGCGATTAACCTAGAACGCGGGGCAGCGACGCGAGCTATAACTGTGCGCCCGCAAGAATTTTTTCGACCCAACCCGTCGTCGTCGTCGAATATTTCAAACGGGAACAGAGAAAAAAAAGGGAGAGAGGGAGAAGAATGTCGCGTATAGCTGATTTACGTGTACGTGTGTGACACTAAAAATGCACAAAGTTTGCCTCTCCTGTACCTACCCCCCTTATTTCTGTTGCCAACTGCTATACGAACATTTTTCATTGAATTCTTATACCGGTACACATAGCGGTGCATGCCTCTCTCTTTCTCTCTCTCTCGACAAAGTGCGAATAGTTCGCGAGCCGCGCAGACCAAGGCATTATACTACCAGCCTTCGAGAGAGATCCACGTCAGATCGGTCAAAAGAAGCTTAATTTATTTTTTCCAGCCCCTTCGTTCGATCTCGACCGCGGCCGTTGTGGTGCAAGTAATGAAATCGGCCGAGATCAGCTGCAGCTCGCCGAGTCATCCGTGCGAGAGAATGCATTTAGCGGCGGGAAGGATGAAAAAAGCAGCAGCACCAGATGCCCGAATGCCTCTACTAGGACGTCCGTCGACGAGGAAAAACCAATAGCAGCAGCAGTAGCGACGACTACGAATGACTTGCAACAGCAGCAGCAACAGGACAAAAAAGTTGGCAAAGTTTCGTCGCTGCCTTTGCAGCGTTGCAGCAGCGCCAACTCCATCGCCGCTACGCACAACAGGATGAATAAGCGACCCGCATCTTACTTGGAGCTCTATTCCCGAAGATTTAGTGAGCCGAATGGAGTTTAGCGCGCGTTTTCTTATACATACACGCGCGATTCGTTACTTTTCATTCTTTCTTTCTCTCTTTTTCTCTGCATCGTCTTATCTCTGCCGCGCTTAATTTCCTAATTGTGAACTACTTTCTTTTTTTTCAACGATATAATTATGTATATTATATTGACGATTGACGATAACGAAGAAAAATCCGATTATCAAAACAAGCGTCGCGCAGAGCACTGCGACTATGCAAATTAGCTGCTGCTGCTGCTGTTGCGGCTTTTATAGCTCGTACGCACGCGCGAAATTCAATTATACGGAGGCTTTTCAAGTACAACACAAAACAAGAGAGAGAGAGAGAGAGAGAGTACGAAAGTCTCCGTGTAACACAATTAATCTGATTGATTTGCCGTTGCGGCGCCCGCGAGAGAGTTTATGAAAATTTTACCTCTCTTTCTCGTAACAATTTAAACTTTCCGCAATTGAGTTTAATCGCGCAAGCTCGCAAGCTCAAAACGGCGGGCCCCGCTGATACGAGGATTAGCGCAAAATACCGCGAGCTATATAGGAAAATACAACTCGAGTCGGTACAACTGTGTTATATATCACTCGTCAAAGCCCATGGCTGCTTATAGGCGCCTCGTATTTACGTAAAGCTCTAGGACTGTACCGTCGTTTTCCGTTTATCGGCAGGGGGTAGTAGTAAAGACGTCACCACCAGCGATCCTGGTCCCACAAAAGTCACCACCGCCTCCTCCCACGAGAGGCAAAGCAGCATCAGCAGTGCCAGTCGTAGCAGTTGCAGCTGTAGTCGTGCATCGTCGTCGATTTGCGATACCGACAGGACGAGTTCGAACGAATTCGGTAGTCGCCGGCGTCGTCGTCGAGTCGTCGTCGTCGACGAGAAACCTCAAGGGGCTACGAATCTTGGCTCGGTAGTAGCGGTAGACGATGACAGCGGCCTACATCAGGACCAGAGAAGTCGAAGCCGACCTCTGCTCTGCGACTCGTCGTGGGATTATGGAATGGTCAAACGGGATCGTTCCCATGGCAGCAAAAACAGCATCGACGCAGTTGGACCAAATAAACAGCAGCAGCAGGAGCAGATCGACCTAGATGCTAAAGTAGTTTTCCGATAGCTTCAAAGTAGTTTTTTTGCTCTCTCTCTCTCTCTCTCTCTCTCTCTTGGCTCTTTTCATAGACGCGCGTGTGGAAAACTTTTTTAGCCACGCGCTGCGCGATAGTCGATCGTGCGCATACTCAAGCATTTCATGAATAAATCAGCCTCACCTCCAACCCGTCACTACAGCGCTTACATATACAGTGTATATATGTATGCGAGGGCTATATATGTTACTCACTTATATACGATCCATTTACCGAACGAGTTGGGGGTTTTCTGCTGCTGTTATGTGTTATGTGTGTGTATTGTATACGCGTAATCTAGCCGTCAGACAGATGTCTCTGAGGGTGATGCATTCGACTGGAATTGGCAACTTTTGTTCGACGCGTACCGCATTTAAGCTAAAAATATATATATTGAAACTTTTTTGCGAAAGCCCGTCAAGCTGTACAGAGTTCTCTCCGATACGAAACTTTACTTTTTCCACTTCTTCTCTTCTTTTTTTTATACTTTTTCGTTTTTTACATTATATTATATTATATATAAACTTTACTATATATTCGGCAAAACGAGATACGAAATTTCACTGTATATACTTGCGTGCGAAGAGGCCCCCGTATATATACGCAAAAGAGCCAGAAGCAGCAGTAGCAGCACGTCAGACTGTAAAATCTGACTTATTCAGTCGGAGATTTGCTTTCTCGGGTTTGTGGAAAATGCCTCGACGCGCGTATAAACGTCTTGCTCGTTCGCATTTTACGCGTTTGCGGGTACACGTGTGTCTGTGTGTGTGTGTGTGTGTGTGTGTGTGTGTGTGTGTGTGTGTGTGTGTGTGTTCAACCCTCAGTAGCAGACGTAGCAGATGTGCACACTGGTGGTATCTACAGGCAAAGGTTTTAGCCCATTAGCTTGAATTTAATAAACAGCAAAGAGAGAGAGAGAGAGAGAGAGAGGAAAGAGAGGGAACGAGAAGAGAAAGGAAGAGAGGGAGGCAAGCTTTGCACGTTTTTCCTCGTACGTAGCCTTACACTATAACATTTTCCGGTCCCTTTAAGTATTCTCGCGTTTGTACCACGTGGATGTGTGTGCGCGGCTTTCTTACTCTCGGTACAAGCAGCAGCTGAAATCCTCTGGAACGCGAGAGAACACACAAGCTCTCTTGAATCTGACCGTTTAATCTAATCTAGCATTTCTACTCTTCTCTCTCTGGCCCCTTTATACTGGCTATATACGCTCGGGTACCGCAATGCCTTAAAATTCCCTGTAACGCGAAATAGCTTTCGACGTGCGCAAGCCAACGCATCAGCACAGCCTTTGTTTCTTCTGGCAGATACTACCCCCGAAATCGGACCAAAAAATTATATGGGATTCTCTTTCCCTCACCCTCCTCGAAAACATTTAGAGACGACAATCTCTTCTGGAGAGTGAAGAAAAGGACAATGTTGTATAAGTAGTGTGCAGCTCTGAAACGTGAACAAGCCTTGCATAATCGATGAATTATCGTCTGGCAAGATCGTCGTTTTTATGTCTTGTATAATATAATGGGTCAAAATAATACTTTTTTACATTTTCGTCTGCACGTATGTCACCGATCTTAACGCGCTTTTGGTATGTTATAGTACTGTATAGCAACCGTTTCAAGTTTTCGATTGAAGCCTCCTAGCTCAATCTAGAGCATCAAAATAGTGTTATCATTCCTTACGGTATTTAGAAACGTCTTCAGAATTTTGCATTGATCTTTGTGATGCTCAAGATTGGGCTAGGAGGCTTCAATCGGAATCTTGAAACAGTCAAAATTTTTTAAAAATCTGACAAGGAATTCAAAAAAAATATTTTCAAATTTTTTTACCGGAACAATTGGGTTCTAGGAACCTTTTTTATTAAAAATAGCATTTTTCGGTTCTAAAAGTTATCGCTTTCAATTAAAATATCAGAAAAATTTGAGGTTACGTATTTTAATGAAAAAATCAAGAATAGTATATTTCTCAACGGGTGCACATATGGTTTTTTAGCAAAACGAGGGATTATAGCACGAGCCGAAGGCGAGTGCTGTAACGAGTTTTGTTAAAAAACCATATCTGCACCAGTTTGAGATACTATTTTTTCCTACGAGAGCCTAAAATTAGCGGCAAAGTTGCGTATTTTAGGTTAGAGTGGGAAAAAAACTTTTTTTCCAGATATTTCGACGCTCTGTATCGTCATAAAAAATTATTTTCGTTAAAAAAAAGGTTTTTTTTAACGCTTCATAGCGTGTGCGTTCAGGTGTGTTCACTTTTTTGAAAAAATTTGTAAAAATTTGAGGTTAACTTTTTGTAATGAAATAAAAAAGTAAAAAAATGTTCAAAAAGTTTAT